TGTTGGGCTTGCCCGCCTGTTCGCTTCCCGTTATTTTGACAACGTTTTGTTGTTTTATCTATCTCATTCGCTTTTTAATTCTGTTTTAATCTATTATTCACTACATTGGGCTTTTTAATTGGCTTATTTACATTGCCTTTCCTTGCTTTGCAAATTTTAGCGTCGCCTTTTAATTGTATTTTATAATTGTTTGTTTTACCACTTTGCAACTTCACCTCCTTTAGTTTTACATTTGAGATTTTCTTGGCTCCTTACGCCTTGTTCTTCTGTCTTACCTGTTATCAATTTGTCATCGACTGTATTGGTTCTTTGACCTATATTAACTTGGGACCTCCGTTTACCTGTGACCTTTTAATGTTTTCTTATGTTCACTTCAGGTACACGTTTTCTTTAATGGTTCACTTTATGTTTTACTGTTCTTGAATACATCAACAGTTTATACTTTGTGTCCTTTATATCCTGTCACAATGTTAATGATCGCTTTGGTTTAGCGACCTAACTTACTCTGTAATATTACTCGTTTTAATCCTATGTACTGCCTGCACATGATGCATTTTATGTCATACTGTACTTTCCTGCGATGTGTTTTAAAATTTTTCATTTGTGTCTTTGGCTCACTATAAGGGAAGCCCCGTCGGCTTCGGCACTATAAGGCGGGACTCTCAGAGCATTTTAATTATTTTACTGCTGTTGCCATCAGACTCTGTAATGTTTACATAATGTTACTCTGTAATGTTACTTTTTGTATTTTATGTACTTTTCTATTTTTTCTGATTTTAATAAACATTTACCCGTATGCCCTAAATTGGGGCAGGTCGGGGTAAATATTTCATAATTACAATAATCATGATTACGGGGAATCTTGATTACATGTAATTATGACTACAAGTAATCTAAATATACGAATACAAGTAGAAAAAATATTGTACACTAAACATACGATTATATTAAACAGTACAGAAAGTATAATGCATTGTGTAATAATACATTTTGTAAACATTTTCATACGACGAATGTAACTAAACATGGAGCTCTTATTCCGTTGAACCGTGGTTCTATTTCCGATGACGAAGTGAAACTTGTGGAACTTCAGATTAATGAGTACCAGCTGATTGATATATGAACCAGATCGGAGAGCAATGCTGACCACTTTTCCAAAATCATGCGGTTGGTCTTGAAACTATAACGCCAGGGCAATTCACACTGCATCCGAATGCCTTAAACGCGAATCTTTTGAAACTTAAGAACGTAAAACGTAAGATGAACTGCTCACGCATATGCGAATCGCATGTGCGAATTGAGTGCAATGATAATACCATTTTAATCCTCATTACCTTCTTGGCTGACAAGCGGATGCTGCGGGAAGAATTTAGTAGTCGGTGCAGAACTAGATCGGCTTGATATGGCATTTCACTTATTCTAGTTTTATTCACCCAAAATTTATAAGCGTCACAGAGTCATCGTAAGACCTCATTTTCAGTAGATCACTGAAGTCAAACATCACTGAAGGCTGTCAGTGAGCGGATGAATTGCCTCTTTCATCAGACTGCGAACGGACCGTGGGTGCACGGTATCGGTCTGAATTAAACTATGAAGTGCACGATTACGCGAGCAAGTTGTCGAACTACCAAAGCGTGAAAACTTTGAAAACTACAAGTACTTTACTTACGTTGCATGTTGCACTACGTTACTACAGCATGTTGTACAGCATGTACAGCATGTACAGCATGCAGTACGTTACTACAACATGTTGTGTTGCAAAGTAAAGTACTACTACTTGGTAAAAGTAGTACGTCAACGCAAATAGATTGCTACTTCTACGAAATTCAACAATAAAATATTAAACAACAGAAATCAGAAATTTAAAGTCTCTACTTTTTTTCAATGTTGGAAAAGGCAATATAATTCTAACTTGCGAAGAATAATTTAAAAATGCGCTTACGATTCAAAGAATAGAACCGTCTGTAACAGAAGAAATTCCTCAATTGTAAAACTCGCATACAGTTTCAGGCTCCAAAAAACAAAATGAAGTTTTGTGATGCGAACGATGCGTCGACACATGACTTTTGAGATATTCTCATCCACAAATTGAAAATGCAATAAAACTCGCATAAAAATGCAAACCAAGAGGGAATGTCTGACAATGTTTTCTTTATAGCTTATAAAAATTCCTTGAAATATATATGAAAGATATTCTTCTAACTCTTGGCGAGAACATGAAAAATCATCGTGTTAATCCGCTGATAACCGACTCGTGACCCACACACTACAGGGGCAAAAGGGGGTGCTTTAACTGTTGGCATGAAAGGAATTACTGAAAATATTAAGAAGAAATTAAAAGAATAATATGTTTCATACTTTTTCAGACTTATTTCAACTAATCCAAATTCCACTAGATTTTAGAGATTTGAGCTAAATTAGACATTTTTCCCAAATTTACACGATTTTGATGATATATCTTATTCAAAATGTGCTTATGATATTTATTAGTTTTGGTAAATCATTAATTAGTATATTAGTATTAGTCTTAGTAAAACCAGATATGAAATGGTCAAATTTTTATAAGATTTTCAACCAATTCTTTGCAAATTTTTTTTATGATAACGATACAGCTTTCAGTTAATTAGTCAAACGTTTAATTCCTTAGAACTACTAATTATACTCAAACAATTTAAAATGTTTTTCAATTTAAAAGTACTTATTTTAACTTAATGTAAAAGTTTTTATACTGCTTTGAAAACGTTTCATTATTGTTATTAAATTGAATAAGAAAAATTATTATTATAATTATTGTCTATAAAAAGACAAATTGTGATCGTTTTATCGAAAAGAAAATTTTATTTGCATTTCTAATTCTATAGATAAGGCAAAAAATACAACATAAATAAACAAGTTAAATGAACCTAAACTTTGAACTATTCTAAATACTGATCGGTAATTCAAATTCGTAAGCAAAAAAAACTACTAAATTAATCCTTTTTCATATTTCTCTTACATTGGGTTTTGTTATTATAGGTATTAATCTACATTTCTTTCAAAACCTTGCCGAAAATGAAGTAGCAAAAGTATGAGCATCAGGGGTTTGCAAATTAAAATTTCAGAAAAAAATAAATAAAAACAAAAATGTTTTCGAAATCTGACGAAATATCTATCTATTAAGGATGGCGTTTATTAGAATCTATCAAGTAAAGCATGGCTGAAAATTCAGTAGCATTACCAGATAAAATTTGAAGGTGCTTCTAAGAATAGCTTTTCAACCCAGCTTTGTTTCCTGTTGCAATCAAACAGGTTTTGTTTGCTTGACGTTTTAGCTTACGTCACACTAGCAATAGGATCAAATTGCATTGTTCCATTAAAATTTCATGAGAAGGTGGATTTTAGCTGAGCATACAAGACATCGCGGAAAGAAACCTTATAATTATCTAGATTTAAGATTATTTTCACCCTGAGACTAGATTTATTAAAGGATTTTTTTTTCACGCTTGAAAACCCTAAGTCAACCTCGATTTAAGGTTTTTATGTAGAAGGTTGTTTTCCTAGGTTTTGGATTAAGGTAATGTGTGTAGAATAGAGTAGATTGTCACAGAGCTCGTTTAAAGGTTAGAAGGTTTACACGTAATCCGCATAACAAACCTTTATAGGTTTACATTAAAGGGTTTTTGCTGAGTTAAAATAAACCTTATTTTTGTATCTGGGACTTATTCTACGATGTCTTTCTAGGATTTTGAAATTATAAATTAGGAGTTATGGATTAATCTGCACGGATACATGTATGAGCATGTATATTAATTTACAACCTCCGGAAAAATCCTTATTCTGCTTAATGTCTTACTAGGACTCCGAAACTATTAAATTGAGAGTTATGGATTAATCTGCACGGATACATGTATGTACATGTATATTAATTTACAANTGATCTTTTAGATCCATAATGACGTTTTAGATGACGTCACACTAGCGATAGGATCAAATTGCATTGTCCATTAAAATTTCATGACAAGGTGTATTTTAGCTGAGCATACAAGACGTTGCGAAAAGAAACCTTATAATACCTAGATTTAAGATTATTTTCACCCTGAGACTAGATTTATTAAAGGATTTTCTTTTCACGCTTGAAAACCCTAAGTCAACCTCGATTTAAGGTTTTTATGCAGAAGGTTGTTTTCCTAGGTTTTGGATTAAGGTAATGTGCGTAGAATAGAGTAGATTGTCACAGACTCCGTTTAAAGGTTAGAAGGTTTACACGTAATCCGCACAACAGACCTTTTTAGGTTTACATTAAAGGGCTTTTGCTGAGTTAAAATAAACCTTATTTTAGTATCTGGGACTTATTCTACGATGTCTTTCTAGGATTCTGAAAATATAAATTAGGAGTTAGGGATTAATCTGCACGGATACATGCATGTACATGTATATTAATTTACAACCTCCGGAAAAATCCTTATTCTGCTTAATGTCTTACTAGGATTCTGAAATTATTAAATTGAGAGTTATGGATTAATCTGCACGGATAAATGTATGTACATGTATATTAATTTACAACCTCCGGAAAAATCCTTATTCTGCTTAATGTCTTACTAGGATTCTGAAAATATAAATTGAGAGTTATGGATTAATCTGCACCGATACATGTATGTACATGTATATTAATTTACAACCTCCAGAAAGATCCTTATTCTGCTTAATGTCTTACTAGGATTTTGAAATTATTAAATTGAGAGTTATGGATTAATCTGCACGGATAAATGCATGTAAATGTATATTAATTTATAACCTCCGGAAAAAATTTATTCTACTCAATGTCTTACTAGGATTCTGAAACTATTAAATTGAGAGTTATGGATTAATCTGCACGGATAAATGCATGTACATGTATATTAATTTACAACCTCCAGAAAAATCCTTATTCTACTCAATGTCTTACTAGGATTCTGAAACTATTAAATTAAGAGTTACGGATTAATCTGCTGTGCAAAAAGTAATCGTGTGTATTTTTACAGTTCTTCCATCATACGTCAGGCTGAATTATACCATCAACGATGACACGGTTAGATTTGTATGTGAAATAGATGAAGTTCATCCCCTTCCAGACGTGATACTCTACCAAGAAGCTCCTGGGCCAGTTAAAAACAAGACAGTCATCGAAGACATCGAGGAAACTTTCGAACTAGAAGAAGACGGAGCTTACAATCTCAAAGTATATGTTGACATTCCCGAAAGAAACTTGAGCACGAAAAATGGAGACGGATATTTCCACTTTGAGTGCGAGGTTACAATTGATGGCATTAATTATAAAAAAACTGCCGGAATTCCTTTCTTCCCAAGTACGTATGACACCAAAAAATTAGTCAAAAATTAGCAAATAATTAAAAAATAATAATAATATGAAATTTCGCCCCTGGACTTAATAATCAGCCGTATTCAGTTTCAACCTAGAACAATGGACTATGTTTGATTAAATAGCATCCCGCAGGGTACATAATAAGAACAGGAACATAATAAGAACAGAAAACATAAGAATAGGCAAACACCCGGAAATCCTTCTCGAAAAGTTTGGGTTAGAAAGTATAAATTCTTCAGATGGCGCTGCGATTGCTACACTATTTGTTTAACGAATAACAGTAATTTTTTTTCAAAGTATAGTTTGTGCGCATTATTGGAGAAATAAAAATCCGTTGTTAGACGCTAAAACTTCTTTAGTAACATTAAAATGGTATTACCAAATGATGACGTTCTTGCTTAAGATATTTTTTTATAGGGCGTATATTTTGCCAAATCTTTATGTTCGGCAAATCTCACAGGCTGAAGGTACTAAATGTGAATCTTGAGTTATTTTGAAGTGAAAGAAGATTCCAAAGGAAAAAAAATATTTATTATTAAACAGTTGATGAATAATTTAAGAAAGCCTCTCTTTTTGGAAGCAAATTAAAACGCCTAGGGTACAAGCGCTATGACGCTGACAGATTTTTTGTTTTGTTTTTTTTTTTGAAAAATATACAGTTTCGTATGCCAAGATGCAATATGCCACCATTTTCTTAGCAATCAAAAATGTGCCTGTTGATTCTAAGAATGAAAAGCATTTTATTCTATAGGAAATACCAATAAATTAATTATTCCTAATTCGGTTTTATTTATATTTTACTTACACGTAGTTTTCAAATAGAATAAACAAATATGAAGAAAAAAAATTACGTTCTTAATCTCATTAAGTTATCGAAATAAAGTAGTTTGTAAGCTAGAAATACTGTTTCTAAATTCTTAAACATTAAATTCACAATCTCTTTTAGTCTCTAAGCCTAAAAATAAAATAAAATAGATTAATACTTTGTAATACAATACCACAAAAAAATATTTAAAAAGAAAATTTCATTAAGAAATCACGAAGCGGAGAAATTAACTTTTAATAAAATTAACAATTTTAAATACAAAATAATTAGCATTTTTCTCTTAGTCAACAAAACAGGATTTACATGTTCTCTTAAATCAATACTTTTAATTCCACACTTATCCCGTAAGCAATTATGATTTAATTTGCATATAGTTTTTTTTCTTCACTGTAACCGCAACTGAGTTATAATGCCTTAACTGAAGTAGGATGTGTAAAAATGTTATTTGTTAAAGTCAAGTAATGTTATTATCAGTAAAACAAAAAAATGTTAAAAGGAATTAACAATACCGTAAAATTTGATAAACTTAATTGTCATAATGCATACCGGGACTCCATATTAATTGAAAACATGTCACCGCCCCGGGAAAAACTAAATATTTAAAAACGCATATCTTCCTTATCAGCGAAGGAATAAAAAATGGAAGCCATATTTAAATATTTTATATTCCATTAGGTTTCTTTCGTAAGGAAATGGTGTTACGTCGAACGTTAAAAAATACAGTTAACAAGATAATTTCGATTTTATTTCTCTTGTGTGTTTATTTTTGCAAATATTAGCTGACAGAATCAAGTGACATTTTAACTTTTTTTTTTCCAGGTCCCGTTGCGGAGAAGCATGAAGGTAAGTTTCGTCACAAAATTTTCTTTAATGAAGGAAACTTTTTTCGAGATTTCTTTTTTCTTTGAATTGTTTTGCGTGAAGTGGTGTAGAATTTCGTCTTAGTTCTGTTTGAATTTTTAATGTGTTTTTTTAACCTTTAAAAATACTTTTACAGACGTCGAAATTTTCTCTAATATACGAATTAAAGTGACTTGTTTCGTTCACTTTTCAATACGGTGTATAAAATTTTAATAAATAATTTATATTAATGTCGGTGGTTTGTTGAATTTGTTAGACAATGTTTTCTAACAATATTTTATTTTTATCTCTCGTTAATAAAAACGCTATTTCAATCAATTTCTTAATGAAAACTACTCTCGAATTCTATTTTTTTAAATAAAAAATATCCTTTTTAAAAAAAATTTTTCCTTTGTAACTGCGTCTAAATAAAACTTAATATTACTAAAAATTACTTATCAGACAAAAAAATTGACCGACAATTATTGTACTTATCAGACAAAAAAAATAAAAATAATATAAATAAGACTTGGTAAAAAAGTGACTTGCCAATTACTTATTACATGGACATTACTTATTACATTTTTAAGAATTCTTGCCAATGATAAATTGAAAAAAACACACATTAGAATTTGTAATATGTTGTTTAATCGATTAAAAAACAAATCTATTAAAAAATTCTGACGAATCATTATTGAAGAAAGAGTTTTTAAAAACATTAAAAACATCGTTGACAAGGCTCAGGAAGATATAAATTAAAAGCAGATAGTCTTTAGACCAAGTCTTAAGTCTTAATGAAGCAGTCTTACAACTGCAGTTTTATAATAAAATGATCATTTGTTAAAGTTTAATATGCCATTTAGTTAACTTTTCTTACTATATAGAAAAATCTAAAGATGATGCCGCAGTTTGGTATACTTTAGCGTACGTCACAGGTCGTGTTATTCCTACTAAATTTAATTAGTAAACAGCATTTTCTGCGAACCTGATTTCTAGCAACAAGTAAAAGCATCAAACGAAGTGTCTTGTTTATAAGTCGCTACTCGCCAGGTTGGAATTGTATTAGTCTAGTTCCTTTGGAAATAATTTATATTGTTGTTTTACCGAAGTTTATGAATTTAGTAANATATATCGTCTAATGTATCCAATCGTCTAATTTATATTATATATCGTCTAATGTATCCAATCGTCTAATTTATATTATATATCGTCTAATGTATCCAATCGTCTAATTTATATTATATATCGTCTAATGTATCCAATCGTCTAATTTATATTATATATCGTCTAATGTATCCAATCGTCTAATTTATATTATATATCGTCTAATGTATCCAATCGTCTAATTTATATTATATATCGTCTAATGTATCCAATCGTCTAATTTATATTATATATCGTCTAATGTATCCAATCGTCTAATTTATATTATATATCGTCTAATGTATCCAATCGTCTAATTTATATTATATATCGTCTAATGTATCCAATCGTCTAATTTATATTATATATCGTCTAATGTATCCAATCGTCTAATTTATATTATATATCGTCTAATGTATCCAATCGTCTAATTTATATTATATATCGTCTAATGTATCCAATCGTCTAATTTATATTATATATCGTCTAATGTATCCAATCGTCTAATTTATATTATATATCGTCTAATGTATCCAATCGTCTAATTTATATTATATATCGTCTAATGTATCCAATCGTCTAATTTATATTATATATCGTCTAATGTATCCAATCGTCTAATTTATATTATATATCGTCTAATGTATCCAATCGTCTAATTTATATTATATATCGTCTAATGTATCCAATCGTCTAATTTATATTATATATCGTCTAATGTATCCAATCGTCTAATTTATATTATATATCGTCTAATGTATCCAATCGTCTAATTTATATTATATATCGTCTAATGTATCCAATCGTCTAATTTATATTATATATCGTCTAATGTATCCAATCGTCTAATTTATATTATATATCGTCTAATGTATCCAATCGTCTAATTTATATTATATATCGTCTAATGTATCCAATCGTCTAATTTATATTATATATCGTCTAATGTATCCAATCGTCTAATTTATATTATATATCGTCTAATGTATCCAATCGTCTAATTTATATTATATATCGTCTAATGTATCCAATCGTCTAATTTATATTATATATCGTCTAATGTATCCAATCGTCTAATTTATATTATATATCGTCTAATGTATCCAATCGTCTAATTTATATTATATATCGTCTAATGTATCCAATCGTCTAATTTATATTATATATCGTCTAATGTATCCAATCGTCTAATTTATATTATATATCGTCTAATGTATCCAATCGTCTAATTTATATTATATATCGTCTAATGTATCCAATCGTCTAATTTATATTATATATCGTCTAATGTATCCAATCGTCTAATTTATATTATATATCGTCTAATGTATCCAATCGTCTAATTTATATTATATATCGTCTAATGTATCCAATCGTCTAATTTATATTATATATCGTCTAATGTATCCAATCGTCTAATTTATATTATATATCGTCTAATGTATCCAATCGTCTAATTTATATTATATATCGTCTAATGTATCCAATCGTCTAATTTATATTATATATCGTCTAATGTATCCAATCGTCTAATTTATATTATATATCGTCTAATGTATCCAATCGTCTAATTTATATTATATATCGTCTAATGTATCCAATCGTCTAATTTATATTATATATCGTCTAATGTATCCAATCGTCTAATTTATATTATATATCGTCTAATGTATCCAATCGTCTAATTTATATTATATATCGTCTAATGTATCCAATCGTCTAATTTATATTATATATCGTCTAATGTATCCAATCGTCTAATTTATATTATATATCGTCTAATGTATCCAATCGTCTAATTTATATTATATATCGTCTAATGTATCCAATCGTCTAATTTATATTATATATCGTCTAATGTATCCAATCGTCTAATTTATATTATATATCGTCTAATGTATCCAATCGTCTAATTTATATTATATATCGTCTAATGTATCCAATCGTCTAATTTATATTATATATCGTCTAATGTATCCAATCGTCTAATTTATATTATATATCGTCTAATGTATCCAATCGTCTAATTTATATTATATATCGTCTAATGTATCCAATCGTCTAATTTATATTATATATCGTCTAATGTATCCAATCGTCTAATTTATATTATATATCGTCTAATGTATCCAATCGTCTAATTTATATTATATATCGTCTAATGTATCCAATCGTCTAATTTATATTATATATCGTCTAATGTATCCAATCGTCTAATTTATATTATATATCGTCTAATGTATCCAATCGTCTAATTTATATTATATATCGTCTAATGTATCCAATCGTCTAATTTATATTATATATCGTCTAATGTATCCAATCGTCTAATTTATATTATATATCGTCTAATGTATCCAATCGTCTAATTTATATTATATATCGTCTAATGTATCCAATCGTCTAATTTATATTATATATCGTCTAATGTATCCAATCGTCTAATTTATATTATATATCGTCTAATGTATCCAATCGTCTAATTTATATTATATATCGTCTAATGTATCCAATCGTCTAATTTATATTATATATCGTCTAATGTATCCAATCGTCTAATTTATATTATATATCGTCTAATGTATCCAATCGTCTAATTTATATTATATATCGTCTAATGTATCCAATCGTCTAATTTATATTATATATCGTCTAATGTATCCAATCGTCTAATTTATATTATATATCGTCTAATGTATCCAATCGTCTAATTTATATTATATATCGTCTAATGTATCCAATCGTCTAATTTATATTATATATCGTCTAATGTATCCAATCGTCTAATTTATATTATATATCGTCTAATGTATCCAATCGTCTAATTTATATTATATATCGTCTAATGTATCCAATCGTCTAATTTATATTATATATCGTCTAATGTATCCAATCGTCTAATTTATATTATATATCGTCTAATGTATCCAATCGTCTAATTTATATTATATATCGTCTAATGTATCCAATCGTCTAATTTATATTATATATCGTCTAATGTATCCAATCGTCTAATTTATATTATATATCGTCTAATGTATCCAATCGTCTAATTTATATTATATATCGTCTAATGTATCCAATCGTCTAATTTATATTATATATCGTCTAATGTATCCAATCGTCTAATTTATATTATATATCGTCTAATGTATCCAATCGTCTAATTTATATTATATATCGTCTAATGTATCCAATCGTCTAATTTATATTATATATCGTCTAATGTATCCAATCGTCTAATTTATATTATATATCGTCTAATGTATCCAATCGTCTAATTTATATTATATATCGTCTAATGTATCCAATCGTCTAATTTATATTATATATCGTCTAATGTATCCAATCGTCTAATTTATATTATATATCGTCTAATGTATCCAATCGTCTAATTTATATTATATATCGTCTAATGTATCCAATCGTCTAATTTATATTATATATCGTCTAATGTATCCAATCGTCTAATTTATATTATATATCGTCTAATGTATCCAATCGTCTAATTTATATTATATATCGTCTAATGTATCCAATCGTCTAATTTATATTATATATCGTCTAATGTATCCAATCGTCTAATTTATATTATATATCGTCTAATGTATCCAATCGTCTAATTTATATTATATATCGTCTAATGTATCCAATCGTCTAATTTATATTATATATCGTCTAATGTATCCAATCGTCTAATTTATATTATATATCGTCTAATGTATCCAATCGTCTAATTTATATTATATATCGTCTAATGTATCCAATCGTCTAATTTATATTATATATCGTCTAATGTATCCAATCGTCTAATTTATATTATATATCGTCTAATGTATCCAATCGTCTAATTTATATTATATATCGTCTAATGTATCCAATCGTCTAATTTATATTATATATCGTCTAATGTATCCAATCGTCTAATTTATA